AATATACAATCTGGAGTTATTGGATGTAATCTATATATATCAATTATAAATGTTCATTAGGTCAAGGTGGTTGAAAGTGTTGTTCATGTCTTTGATTTCCCTATTGATGCTTGATTGCTTGAAACTGTAAAAATGTTTTTCTGCCTTCTATTCCCACACTAAGTTCCCACACCACCACTATGAACTCAGCAAAAGTTCTAGGAGGAGAATCAGTTGGCAGGGAAAATAAGTTTTATATTTGGAGCCTCTATAGATTCAATATTGCCAAATACTCAGTTGGAAATTTATCTTTTTATATTTCTTGATCCTGAGGCTCTTAAACATTTTTCATATATTTGTTGGCCAATCATAATTACTGCGCTAAGAATTGCCTATTATCTGTAGGATTCTAATGTTTTTCTTAGTGGTTTCATAGGTTCTATGTGCAATAAGATTATTAACACTTTACTGATATTTTCTCCAGTCTGTGGTTTGTAATTTGTTTTGTTTGTTCTTTACCAGGTTAAAAAATAAACATTTTTATTTAATAAAAAGTACTACAAATTTTCTAGCAATTGCTCACCATCAATCTTAAATCTACCATTTTGTGGTATTGTAAAAATGTTGTCTCCCAAGTTTCTTCTTCTTTAAAATAATTGTGTTTACTGAGGCTCTGCTAGTGCCAGAAGGAGGCCTGGTGGTACAGTGGTTAAGTGCTGGGCTGCTAACTGAAAGGTTGGCCATTCGAACCCATCAGCCACTCTGCAGGAGAAAGATTTGTCAGTCAGCTTCTGTAAAGATTACAGCCTTTGAAACTTTATAGGACAGATCTGCTCTGTACTATAGGGTCAGTGTTAGTCAGAATTGATTTGATGATAACGGATTTTTTGTTTTTTATAGATTTCAATACATTACACAAGCCCACAGGCTATTTAAAAACCTCGCTGATTTCTCATCGCCCCATCAAAATCTCCTTTTCTATGGCAAGTTCAATCTTCCTTCCACCTCTATTGACATTTAGCTGATGAACCAAGGGAGAAGAGTGGAAATCTGTTCCTGCTCAACTAAGCAGAACTTGTCCATCTCTGGAATGTGGTGATTTTAGACTTGTTTGAATCTACAGCTCTTTGAAGTCTTTTAAAAATATGATTTTTCCCAAGTTATTCATTTCATTTAGTTTCTACATTTTCTTGTTCTTATGGTGGCAGTGATGGCCCTTGTAACTTTCTGCATCCTAACTGGCACTATGGCTTATAACTTTTTTCCTTTGCTTGTTGATAGTTCTAGTCCATTCATTTAAAGTTCTGTATATTATTACTTTGAATGGGCACAATTTATCCATTCTCTGTCCGAAAATTCAGAATGTTTCCCTTCTCTTATTACTGTGGTACAATAAACCATTTTTTATATGTAATCTTGGGCATGCATGTGAGAATTTATCTAGAGTGTAAATACCTACAATGGAAATACGCACTGGATTACCCAAACTACTCCAAGAAGTATACTAATTTATACTCACTTCTCCATGCACGATACCCAAATATCACGCTGCAGTATGTTGTCATCTCATATATTATAGTTTTTTCATGGACAGAATTTTTAAAAAGAAGACATATTTATCAGTCTTTTCTTTTAGAATTTGGATATATCTTTAGTATTCCAAACCCTGGTGCAACAAAAATTAAATTTTATGTCTCTTTGGGCTTATATTGGACTGATATTTTAGGATCAATATCAAGTGTGGATTTTTGTAGTTGTCAATCATGCTCCATTTACATCTTGAATTTTAATAGATAACTTACAAGCTGCCATCTATTCATGATCCTAATAACAGCATATGAGAGACTCCATTCCCACAGAGTCTTCTAAATCTTTGATTTAAAAAAAAATAACCAAAGCTAATTTGGGGTGAGAAATATTTCATCACATTGCTATTTGAATTTGCATTTTTCTGATTAATGGGCTGCTTGGGCATATATTTTGTTTATTGACCATTGGCATATTTCTTCTGTAAATAGTTTATATCCTTTGTCCAATTTTCTGTTGGATTCTTGTTCATTTATTTATTGACTTGTTGACAATTTTACATAATAAAAAAGCTAGCCTAATGTCTGCCTTGACTGTTGCAACTTTTTTCCTGATGTTTATATATTTCTTTAATTTTGTTATTTTCTCCATCCAAAGAAATTTAAAAATTTTATTCGAATATATATATATATTCCTTTAGGTCATCTGTATTTTTTTTTGGGGGGGGGGTTCTGGCTTACAAAGATCTCTTTTTATAAAGATTATATTACCAGGTTTATTGAGATATAATTTATGTAACACAAAATTCACTCATTGTACATGTAAACTTTAATGATTTTAGTAAATTTATGGATTTGTGCCACTAGCACCCCAATCCAGTTCTAGGAGATTTTCATTACCCTCAAAGAACTCTCTATTTATAGTTAAATCCCACCCCCACCCCAAGCCCTAGGCATCCACTGATCTGTTTCTGTATCTACAAATTTGCCTTTTCTAAACATTTTATATAATGGAATAATCTGACAAGTATTCTTTTGTATCTGGCTTTTTTCGCTTAGCATGTTTTTGAAATTCATCCATTTTTAGCATGTATCAGCACTTCTTCTTTCTTTTTTTGCTGAATAGCATTCCATTGTATGGGCATAGCACATTTAGTTTATCCATTCAATAGTTGATGCATATTTGATTGTTTCCAGTTTTGAGCTATTATGACTAATGCTTCTATCAACATTTCCATATATATCTTTGTGAAGATACAAAGGTTCCAGGTAGTAGAATTTCTGGGTCATATGGCAAAAGTATGTTTAAGCTTTTAAGAAATTGCCAAACTGTTTTCCAAAGTGGTGCTAACATTTTACATTTCTATCAGCAATGCATCAAGGTTTAGAAAGTTTTCTTTTATCCTTAAACCTAGTTATAAAAAACGATAACAGTGATAAAAAACAATAATAAATAAAACCTTTTTTTATTAATTTTCTACTTTCTTTGTATTTTGTTGAAATGAATGAGTTTAGCATACACCTC